AGGCGCCGTCCGGAGGAGACTGCCGGACATGCAGGATGTAACGCCCCGTATTTTATTAATAAAGGAAAATACTAGCTTTTAGTTTTAAGCTAGCCTTTGTTAAAAAATAATCATGTTCATGTTCAATTTTAGGTCAATCAGTTAGTCATATTCCAAGTTCGACTATTAGTCGATATATGTTATTCGGTTTAATTATTTCAGTAAACCGGATAAGTTTCAAGATTTAATTCCGATTCGTTTAATTAATTAATGAGTCCGGAATTAATTATTCAGTCAGCGATATCCCGTCAGTTTATTAATATAAATCACGTTTTAGTTCCGATATAATATCGTTGTCATTTATTATTTTTGGAATTAATTATTTTCAGTCGAGATTACCCAAAATTATTTTCCACGTTCCGTTTACGTTCAGAATAATTTTGGTAATTAAGTATTATGCTTAATAATTAATTAAGTATAAGCAAGTGATTAATCATTAATTAATCACAATTTAAGAATGATTGGCCGTAATTAATTGGTTATGGACCAATTTTTCTTCTTTTATTTATCCTAAAGCCGTAGCTTCTTAAGGCTTAGGAAATATATTTTTCCTCCCTTTCAAGAACCACTCACGTGGCATCATTAGAAGAAATTGGGGATGACTAATCATCTAGAGTTAAGTTAATGTTGGCAAGTGGAAGATAATCCTTAAGCCACGTCCATGCTTCATCATCCCCTCTCTTTGTGCGTGGTGTATATATAGGTGGATTTGGGAAGAATTTTTCTCCATTCTTAACCACATATATTACTTCAGCATAAGAGTATAGTGAGGAATTAAGATTTAGCATCTATCACAAGAAGCTTAACGCTTACCGCGAGTACCGTACGACAAGAGCTAGCACCGCACACCGCGTGCACCGAGAGCTGCATTCACGTTCGGAGGTCGAGGGTTGCAAAGGTAACTATAGCTTACCTTTGATTGATTACATAAAAGATATGTTAGTTCGATTCCGTGGTAGTCTTGTTCATGTAACGACTTTAAGTCGTATAGCCGTACGTAGAATTCATGTCAAGCCATCATGTT